TGCGGAGAAGAGTTAAGATCTGCGGCTTGATTTATATGTAAAGCTGTCTCTGCTAAAGTTATTTTTTTACTCATTACCTCAATAATGTTCGATGGGTTACCACTATTGGAATCAATGAGACACAACGAGCCAACTTTTGCTAAATTTAGCGCCGCTAATATTGCGACCGGAATGATATTGCGGAATTGGGGCCACTGGTAGCATAGCTGTCTCAGTGTTTGGACTATGTAAGTAGTGTTCGAAGAAGCTTAGACTTGATGCCTGATAACATACTTAGACCATTTCATTACTACTTGTACGTACATATATAGATTGGCGTAAAAAAGTACCTTCAAAAATTCGATTAATCGATTATTTCTCAATAATTGTAATTAATTTGTTTGGCTTGTGATTAGTCACACGATTAATTAATCGATTATTTTATATATTTTTGCGATCCCTACTTCCCTCTTACAATGACGGGGACACTGGCCAAGTAGGCTGAGAGTTCAGCAAGACTAACTTCCATTTTCTTGAGTAACTTATTGACCACCCACCCACCAGACCAGAGTAGTGGCGAAAAAGCGCCACCTGTGGGGTACTCACCATTTTTGTAGGCTTATGCATACCGCACTATTCCTTGACACTGCTGCAATTCATCGTGTTGCTTATCCGGTTTGAAAGTACAGCGTTTATTCCTTCAAAAAATAGTTTGTTTGTACCAAGTGCCGCAGCTACATCAAGGAATACCTCCAACCCGAACTCACCATTATCAAGAGCTACTCCTAACCGTGTTACACTGTATAGGACAGGCTACACCACTATTCGCCTTCCATCTCAATTTCTACAGGACAAACAACAAAGTCGGGCTAGTGGGCCCGTAATCCTTAAAGTGCGCATGGGAGATTATGCATGGCTTTGGCACTAATACTACCCGTGTCATTCATCCTGACATTGGTACAAATATAAGTATTTCGGCCTGATGCAGATCTCATACAAAAACTAAATGAGAGCGTTTTTACACAAACAAAATCGAATTAAATGGAGCTGAACTGGGAATATTCCTAGGTACCATTATTTTTAAGTTCTGTAGCTTTAAAAAACGTCTACAGATAGAATACTTTCTTCAATTGCCGGTATCTTTATTTCATGAGTAATGTAAATGATTTCATACGAATATTTAAACGACATTTCGTGAATGGTTTTAATATTTTAAGTAATAGTCTTATATATATGCATAGTGGCTGCAATATGTCACTATTCTTTTCCAGTTAAATATTAAATAATTAGTTAAACGAGTACTACATATTATAGTGCATATGCAAATGTATATCTTTCAAGTTGAGCCTGCATTTTAGTTTTTCGTTTCATTCATTGTTGAACACCCAACAGCCGACAACCAAATGTGTCAGCTTAAAAACCGTATTCCTGCAGATTTGGTTGCATGCGTTTCGCAAACTCTGCCCAAGGCGAAAGTTTGGGTACATTGCTGCCGCAGAGCGTCAATTTTCGACTACAGCGGTCGCAGCTGCAGTATAAGCCTGGCCTGCAATCGCTTGCCTCTCCATACAGTTGGCAGGCCTCACCCAGACCCTTATAGCATATTGTGCGTGCAAGGCAGAACTCAGGGTTGAAATTCACACTGAAGTTACCTAGAAACATTTGTTGAATGAAAAATAAATTAACTTCCTACTACACAAATATTCAATTTACCATGAACACAGAGCTCAGGATAAACATTGGGCGGACCACAGTCAATAGGTTTTGGAAAAAATGGGCTGTAAGATGCGAGGAAATAGAAAGAATGTTATTTACACCTTCTTATAAATGTGAAGGTATGCGGTTTTCAAATCTACTTACATGCCATGTATTCCGTTTAGCTGGAAAATCAAAGCCAGTGCGAGCGTGAAGCACAGTCTGGTCAACAAGCCGAGACCACGATATGACATTTTAAATCTTTTTGGTAATGTCACAGTAGCTTTTGGGTTTTTCTGCTTTCAGTCTTGCGTTTCAGCGGCTCTTAGCTTTGTTCTAACTGTTTCGCTGCAGATGAATTGGATGATGTTTCTTCGAAGCAGCTAAGGCTTTTATAGCCGCTTTTACTTTTGTTAGCCTCATCCTTGAATCGTAATTTATGCAGCATTAATTATTTCAATACACTGATTGCAGACAGTTTCGATTAAATAAAGGAAGCTTAGACATTTTTCCACAAATTTCACTGTCAAGCAGTTTTTTTCTCTCGTTATCCTTGACCGTCGTTAATTGCTCAATGAAGCGCGTAACGCGTGGGCCGCGAGTGACTTATAAAATGGAAATTCTGTAGGCCAGTGGGATGGTAACAATGCGCCAATGAAACGCTATTCGACTGAACATAAGTAATAAGAAAACTATAAGATGTTAATTAAGACATGTACCTACATTAGAGTGGTCTACACTTTTTTCAGTTTTTGTGCAGAAAGTTGCAATCTGTATTCAGAAATTCGAATTTAGAATTTCTTTTTTAAATTCAGAAAGTTGCAATTCGAATTCAGAAAGCTACGTTTCAAATTCAGTTTTGTGATTATATTGATTTATTCGTGTGTTTTAAAAATTTTTGGTTTTTGTTGCACGGTGTAGTAATGAGATTTTTGATGCGGTTTTTTTAACTTTTTTCAAAGATTTGAGTAAGAAAAACTTGAATAACTGCTCCAAAATTTTACCGATATAGACTTATGAGGTATCAGTGGAAAGATGTTTATTTCTCGCCCTTTTTATTTCTTTGCAAAAAACTCTTCACGTCCCAATTTTTTTTTATCCAATACCAACGCATCTTAGTTCAACATGGAATGATACTCGTTTTTCTTACCTCTTTTATACTTCAAATGAGCTTATTCGCAAAGAAATTAAAAGGGGGAGAAAATACCTGACCAATAATACCTCAGAAGTCTAAATTGGTAAGGTTTTTGGTTGAGTTATTCAAGTTTTTCTTAAACCAGTCTTGGAAGAAAGTGCAAAAACAGCATCAAAAATCTGATTGTATGATTCCGTAGAACAATTTTTGTAAATATTTTTACGCAAACTTTTTAAGCTTAACCCTCTAGTATGACAATTTTTTTATGAGTTGAAAAATTCAGGAATGGGTGATTTTAGCCCGAGAAATCCAAAACTGATGTCCATTTCGATCTGTGATAGTAACTATTTCCTACAGGGGAGAAAAACCAAGACCGTCTGGAGACGGGCTCGCCGATATACTTACACATATTTTCAGCTTTCTCTTACACAATGTTGACCTACGAACCGGCAATGCCGTCTGCAGATGGTCAAAAATGCAAAACTGGGGTTTTATATGTCGGCAAGCCGGTCTGTAGACGGTCTGTGTTCGAAAGCAATTTTCTCCATTTCGAATGGTGACATAATTGTAAAACTTATAATAAAATACGGTGCTTTTAACAACGAAATCCACCGAATTTTTTTATATCAAAAAATCTTTCAAAAGAAAAAATTTCTTTAATTCCGAAATTACTAAAAAGCAAGAAATAATTAATTTTAACCGTGTTTTCAAAGTCTGTAATTCAACATCCGATTAAAATAAAACGGATTGACATAACGGATTAAAATTTACATCGCCTTAAGGGTACGATTTTTGTCTAAAGATCGTGCCTTACGAATATAGAAAAAAATTATTATAGGTGCACTAAAAATGTGTTTAGTTAACCACCGACTGGAGGCGGTTCTGCCTACTAGAGGGTTAAAGTGTTCAGTCATCTGAGGTAATTTTTTCAAAATATATTAAAAAAAAACTGGTTTTATTAATAAAAAAAAACAATTTTTTGGAGGTATTTTCAAATCGGTCCAGTTCACGTAAATCTTAATATTTTTGCGAGATATTTTGGCGGAAGTCTTAAAATATAATAGATTTTATAATTCCAGTGGAAGAACGATACCGCTTTTGTTTTTGTATGGGGAGTGATGCAGTCTACTGTACATAAATTGACTATGATTACTCGGCCGTTTATCATAGTAGCACAATGCCACTAAGTGCGTTCAATCATTTACAATATGTAATCAACTTTGACCTTAATTATCTCAAAAAAATATCAGATCTACTTAGATCCTTTTGATTCTAACCCCTTCAATTGTAATGTAATTGCATTTATGAAGCTCTGCTTACTTACTTCAGCGCAAGCCCGGCCTTTAAAAATTGTTCACTACAGATATTGTGGCGCCTTATTTATCATTTTGGATTCACGTTTGGAAAACCATTTTTTTATACATAAATTGTGTATACATTTTTTATGCAATTTAGAGTTTCTTGTATCACAAATTAGGAATCAAAAACGTGTTTTGTGAACATACCTTTACCCTTATCATATAACCATGACCATGACCATTACCATTACTACTACCAATAACATTTCCATTACAATAACCATTACCATAGCGAATTCCATTACTATGGACGTTACCATAATTATTACCATAACCTTTAGAATTATCATTGCCATTAACCTTACCCATTTCCATTACCATTACTAGCAACATTACCATCAGCATTACCATTACCATTACCGTTACCATTACTATACCTTTACTTTAACCATTACCACTACCATTACCATTAAAATCCATTAACATTGTCACTGCCACTACAATTACCATTACCATTACTATTACCACTATCACCACGATTACCATTACCATAACAATTCTCGCTACAATTACTATAACGATTACAATCACCATTTCCTTTACCCCTTCAATTACTATCACCATTACCAATACCACTACTATTACCAATATCAATCAATTAAACAACGAACCCACAAATCCCATCCTAGTCAACGTCAGAAAAATTAATTCGAAATTTCATTAACAGTCGCCTAAGTGACCAAGAATATATAATTAAGTTAATTTCCTAGAAATTTGCATTACATAGAATACATGTGCATGTATGTATGTGAGTCAGTAGAAGTGTACTCAGGATCTTAATCGACTATAAAAGGCTGCACAGTTTTCTGTCACAGACATCAAATACATTGGTAGCCTTAAGGTGGCTACAACGAGTGGTGCTATAAAATCAAAAATATCCTCAATGAAAATACATATTCAAGTGCTTTATTAATCGTTACTAAAAAATAAGAAGATAAGGGGAAATGTCCTATAGTGGTATGGTGTACTCGCGCACTAGTTGGTTAACCAAGCTGAGTTGGATGTTGGCATTGACGCTAATGTTCTGGTGTCGCTCAACAGAGGGAATGTAAGTTGAAAATACATATATATATGTATAGCAATGTTAAGAGATAAAAAATATACATTTTCAGGCCACCTTTCCAACAATCCGTGGATTGTGGTCCAAGTGTAACCGAATATCCTTTAAATTGTGCGCATGGTAAGCAGGCTGCTGATCTTTTTTTTTTGTTGTGTTTTATTTTTTGAAGAAATTCCTATAGTGACCTAAATAATATATGCATGTATGTATTTTATTATCCTTTAAGGTGAACTACAAATTAATATGAATCGGACCGCATGTGCAAATCGAATTGTTTGTTATAGTAATTTGGGTGAGATGTGTCAACGGTATGGTGCTATGAGCAATTGTTTGCCAGGTTTGATTTGCAGCTGTGATAGGTGTCGTGAAATGTTGACAATATGCGGTCAAAGACTACGATCACCAATGTATATGCCAAAGCGAATGAAGCCAACATTTCCGGAATACGGTTTTTAAGTGAACGAAATTATTGTACTATTTAGTATCACGCATCTTACCTGGAAACCTGCAAACGATTAGATGCTTACAAATAACGACTACAAGCCAAATATTTATTAGCGGAATATAATAGAGAAAGTAATTCTCGTAGTGTTTTTTAAGAACATATAAACGTGGTAACATATGTAAATATGTACATATGCGTTGAGTCTTTGGAATATAGAAAATACTTATTTATCTGATTGTGATAATAAAACAATTTCCATGGGGGAAGTTAATAAATCTATGGGTTTCATGTTACATTGATTACAAACTAAATTTTCTTTTGTTTATAAGCAACAACGTCTATTTAATTGGACAAATTAACTTCTGAATGCTATTTCCTCAAGAAAAAGGAAAGTCTGTTGATAATACCTAGTGAAAAAAAGTCGGGAAATGGAAAAATTATTCTTTCTTAAAATTTTCATTTCGTTTAGTAACGCGAACCGCACAGAAATCTTTAACGTGTAATGATGTGTACGTCGAATATAAAATTGGAAATATTATTACCTAACAAGTTGTATTAACCGCAAAACGGGGTACAGGTTGCTAATCGTATTTAAACCGACTGGAGAAATGACAAAGGAAATTTTGACCATACTACCGAAAGACCTAATTATTTCAGAAAAGAAATTGACAAGTAGGTTAACTTCTTAGAATCAGTTTTGTGTGAAACTAAGACAAAACTCAAGGCTGAAGAATCACAAGATGAGAAAAGTTGCGGAGAAAAACTCTGAGTATATTCCTGAGATGAAAAGCTTCTCATAAAATTCATTTGCCGTAAAATTGTATGTCCTTCAATTTGAGTTACAGGTTAAACAAAGTATTAAAATGTATTCCGGCAAAAAAAATAGAAATAACAGATTGCCATATCGGAAGGTGAAATGGTGCATGCTCAATTCTGGTTATACAACAAAATTCCGTCAACCTGTTTCCTCAATTTGCTATAATAATAATGTGGCTGGGTACCTACATATATATGTACATATGTAAGTCTGACAACAAAATATTCAGACGCGATCGTCCCGAAAATTAGCAGCCAATCGACTCATAACTTAATGTCAGCTACTTCTGCCAGAAAAAAACTACACTGATCTTGTAGACAAATTTTAAGGATAAAAGATGGTTTACTGTAAAAGACCTAACCGACGATTATCCCGTCTAGTTTCAACATATCCGTGCAGACTTGTGTGAGTGGAGAAAGGCGAATTGGTGCAAATCTAGCCCCGCTGTGATTTGTGTGTTATTGGTGATAATGTCGAATATCAGAGTGTCCAAGTCCTGAATCATTTAAGCACAGAGATCAACCTAAATCTGACTGCAGCCTTTGCTGCAACATCTTTGCAGATTGGAAGTGGGTTTCAGTGCGCCACTGATTCAAATGAGCACGCATCGTTGTACCAGCTCCAGCCTTCTGATTAGTGTAGCATGTATTTGCTCTTACATTTCACCAAACGAAGACTGCATAAAAAATTATGAGTTTCATATAGCTAGGAAATTGCCCTAGGAGAGAGAGAATCATATCTTACATATTTCCTCGTGTAACGGTAAAGAGTCGTATGTGTTTTTTGCACTTTACTCAAGATATCTAAAGTATTTTTAGTCCAACGAAATGCACCAGGCAAACGCCTCTAATTGAGGGAAAAGTAGCATGCGATATCTATACGGATGGTAATAGAAGGGCGAAGTGCTTCATACCGGATATATCAAGAAGAAGAATAAAAGAAATTCTTATAAATTTTATTAGTGGTCACGGTAGAGTAACACTTATCAAGCACTGTTCAGTGTAGGTTCTGCTACGGAGAACAGAAACGACAGGGCACATTATGTGCCACTGTGAAGCCCTCTCCAGGACTTAACTTCGCTTCCAACGGTCAGCGTACCTAGAAGCACATGGCCTTAATGGCATTCAGCTAAGAAACCTCGCGTGGATTAAAGAAGACCTGTAGTATATTTTTTCGGTCGTGGTAACTACGTAACCTGCTCCCTCCTCGCAATCTAAACTAGTATATCGCCTGAAAAGTTTTATTTTTCATTTTCATTGTATCGAGCCCTAACCTCCAAATTAACCTAAGTGACATTTTTTCCAAAATTTTATTTTTATTGCAGAAATATTCCTAGAGCATCTATATGCACTTCTGCATCAAAAAAAAAATTTTGAAAAAAATGTCGCTTACGTTATTTTGGCGGTTAGGGCTCGGTATGTTAATTATAAATATTGTCCATCCTTAGAATGACAAAAAATCGTATTTTCACATCTACAAGGGATTTACACCTTGAATTAAATTATATACTTCTTTACCATGCGGGCTATGTTTATATTTTTCAGAACTATTGTTTTAATTAAAAATCAATAAAATAAGACCCTCAAAAGCTTATTATTGCATGTCACACTCAACTCAAGAAAATAATCAATGAATTTAAATTCTTTTCCCAAAGAAGTAAAAAGCATTAACTCATTAGAGACACTACCCCGCTACCGATGTCTGTCTACTGCAATTGCTTGTAATGCGCCCCTTCAACATGCCATTAAGGTGTAAAGTACACAATTTCGAAAAAGGAAATGAAGTAAACATGCATAGCATGGCTAATAAATTGGAATGTTTGGAATTTTTTAAAAGAATAACAGAAAAATCGACGAAAATTACAACACCCAAAGTAGTAAAAATAAATGTACAAATACAATACGATTTTGCTTTTTGTTTGCCGCACATGAACTGAAATAAATTTGTGACCTCTAGCCCGAGCATTTTAACGATTTCTTGGCTGGCAGGTAACCCAAATGTCAAATAAACAAATAATAAAAAAAAATAATTGTCTTGAGGAAAATAAATTCGGTGACTGTAATTGTTGTATGCACGTGTTGCACACACTGGGAAATTCGTTACGAATGCCATTTACCTAGAAGCAACGTGCAACACAATTGAGCTGCTTTGGTTAGTATGGAGTACATGTTCACATGCATATGTATGTATGTTTGCACATTTATATGCATTCGTTGAACAGTGTTGACAAAAAGGGAAAATACAAACGTGCTTCCCAGTCAGCTGGGGAAGCCAAAGGCAAGCGAGGCGTATGGCTGTCCCTGTTCAGAGGGGTAAATGAAATGAACAGATGAATGAATGAATGAATGCCCGAATGAAAGAATGAATGGATATGGGAGTGTTATGTTTAATGCGCTAGTTGCTAAAGACGTGTATACATATATAGCAACACACACACAAGCAGCAAAGTAACTGCAAGTAATTGACGTGAGAATCTTCAAGACAGCAGCAGAGACAAAAGCAAAAAAAAAAAATAATAATTTGAAAATATTATCTATTTGGTAGTACATACATACTTATGTTGCAAGAAGTCGTAGGTGAAGAGGCAGCACAATTTCATGCATGTCTTCCAATTGTGCGCACCAGTCGGGTAGCAGGTAACGTTGCCTAGCATAGAGAAATACATATATATCGCACGCGTCTTTTAGAAGTGTATTAACTTAAAATTTGCGAATTTCAATATTGTGTAATAAATATGTTCCCAGTTTTATAAATACCTTGTAAATGGAAGCTGAGGGATATGTCACTTAAATTTGCAGTAAAGTCGCATTTTTTCATAAGATTGATGAACGCTTAGAAACCGCTGTTTTTCCATTCTCCGTCACACGAGAAATTTTGAGTTAATGCACTTCTGAAGCAGGTTTGCTATAAGTTTTCGTGTTTTCTAGACACTAATATACAATGAATATGTATGTACGTATATCTAATCTTTGCAAACACATAAGCAAACTTCATTGACTTCGTAGAAAATCGCCGTGTGTGTGTGTGACTGCATGCATATTTCAGATAGCGATCAGCCGCGGAGAAGTTATGGCGGTAATGGGAAAAATCAAACATGTGCCGCAAATATGTTGCAAATGCAAATAATAATATAAAAAAATGTTTAATGGAAAACCCTGAAATATATTTTCGAAAAACTATATATATACGTATGTATGTAGCACATACTCAAAGTATTTTTGTGGAAGGTTGCCACCTGTTTGGAATTTTTAATTTAATTTAATTGATAAGATAAATTAAATATTAAAATACTGGTATCAAACTAAAGAGTTAAGGAAATTTTATTGCCGAAAATATTTTTGATGGGGGTAGCCAGCTTTTTGAAAAATTGGTATTAATTTAAATTGGTAAACTAAATGAAATATTACAATACCGGTATTAAACTGAACAGGTATATAAAGTTTACTGTTCAAATCATAATTTATTTTGAGAACAAGTTTGCTGTCCTGAAAGGGTTAATTTGCCAATTAAATTAATTTTAGCTCCTAAGTAGGTGGCAACATTTTCAATAATATTTTCGAGTTAAATAAATTTTTTTAAAAACTTTTTTTCATTTGATACCAATATTAAAAAAATTATTTTATTTGTTAGCTAAATTGATTTTGAATTTCTAAACAGGTGGCACTCCCTAAAATAATTTTTTAAATACAGCTTTTTGTTACTTCTCTCGCTTAATACCCACATTAATATATTTCATTTGACTTGTTAATTAAACTTTAAAATCTTAAATTTTTTTTAAAGATGGCAACCGTCTTAAAAAGTAGTTTCGTAAAAATTCGTTCTTGAACCGATTTCGTTTGACACATGTTTTAATGTTTTATTTAACTTGTTAATTTATTGATTTTACTTTTTGAAAAACTCTCTTAAAAAAACTTCCTATATACTAATCCAGCTTACAGCCTATCCTTTTGTCAAATTTTGTCAAACTCCCCTCAGCCGTTTTAGTTTATCAGAGTAACAAACATACTCACACTATCACAAACTTTCATATTTATATTATTTATTAGTAGAATTGAAAAATGTGCTTTTTTTATGTTTTTGAAAACGTTTACCGTTAGTATGGGGAGCAAGAAAACTGATATATGTATATAAATGAAACTCCCACTGACTATTCGAAATCTTCATCATGTGTATGTATATTTTTCGTTTTTGTTTTTTTTTACATCTTCAAGCTTTATTTTTAACCCCAAGCTTTTCGTAATTCTTCGGGAGCTCAACAATTTATTTGCTGCTCAAAACCTGGCAGAAAATTTGCCATTCCTT